ATCCTTGAAGAACAAAACCCCAGAGACTCCAGTAAGCCAGCAGAGCCCTAACATGTCATGTGGGCCTCCTCTGGGTGTTCTGAAGAACAGAGTTGAAGGGGAAACCCTTGGAGGCGGGAGCACACAGTCTAGACAGGACAGCAACATAAATATTATGAAGAGAGGGAGTACCTGGGACCAGGGACTGTGGGAGGGCCTGGTGGGACAGACCTCTGTGAAGGAAAGGCTTCTGAGTGGAGAGGGAAGTTGAGAAGTGGGTCAGGGTGATGCTGGGTGTGGGGGTGTGGGGAGTTTGGGGTGGGTAGGCATACAATTGTCTGTGGGCAGAGCAGCCCAGCCCTGGTTGGCTGAAGATGTGGGGGCACTTGAGTTACTGTAGAGGAGGGCTCCCTGAATCTAGCTTTGCAGAGTTTAGGTCCTTGGAGGGCCTGGGTTTGATGGGAGTTCACCAAATCTGCCTCCAGTCAAAGACAAGGATTTGTCTGCCCCTGGACAGTCATAATTTGGGGAAATTGGGGTGTTTTATAAGAATAAAAGACCATGAGCACAACCCATGGTGGGAAGTTGGAAACGTGCTATATTCTCAGGTAGGCCTTTACGACTTTTGGAGGAAGGTTCTAAATGTCCTTTGGGCGCCTGCTGTTGAACTGGAATGCCAAAAGTTTCTTTAGAAAAGGAGCTAAATCGTCCTCCAGTTTATTGGTAGGGAGCCCAGCTCCATCCAGAGGGTTAAGTAGCACCAGAGTCCTGCCTGTGCCCCATGCCCTGCCTGGCCCCCCTGCCCTACTTGTGCCCCCTGACCTCTTCCACTTTCTCTCCAAGGTGCTTTCCTCGTCCCTTACCTGATGATGCTGGCGCTGGCTGGTTTGCCTATCTTCTTTCTAGAAGTGTCACTGGGCCAGTTTGCCAGCCAGGGTCCTGTGTCTGTGTGGAAGGCCATCCCAGCCCTGCAGGGTGAGTCCAGTCTCCTCTCTGCCCCCCGCCCTGTTCTGTCTGCCATCACCCAGCCCAAGGGAGGGAGACCTGCCTTGTGACCACTAAAACTCCCTCCTTCCTTCCCTTATTCCATTCTTCTGAGATCATTGTGGGGTCCTTGGAGCAATACCCCAGCGTCGCTGGGAGAGGGTCCACTCCACCGTCAGTTGGTGCATCCTTCCGTGGTCTCAGCCTGGGCCCTGCTGTGAGCCTGCGTGGGGCTGGGTTGGGGTCAGTGCTGTGCTTTGCATTTGCAGGCTGTGGTATTGCGATGCTCATCATCTCCGTCCTCATAGCCATATACTACAACGTGATTATCTGCTATACCCTCTTCTACCTGTTTGCCTCCTTTGTGTCTGTGCTGCCCTGGGGCTCCTGCAACAACCCCTGGAACACACCAGAGTGCAAAGACAAAACCAAGCTTTTACTAGGTGAGTCTGGACGGCGCTGTAGCTGTGGAGCTGAGTCACTCATTCATTTAACAAATGTTAAATGAGCACTTATGCTGCACACCAGGCCTGTGCTATGCTGTGGGGCACAGAGCTGAGCTCAAACAACCAAGCAGGAACATTTAAAAAGCTCATATCTCGGGGTGGGGAGTGGTCAAAGCCTCGTTTGCTCATTCACACACAGAGCGTTTGTTAAACATGCAGGTCCACAGTTCCACCAACGATGTTGGCTTTCTTAGGTTGCAGGAGGCCAGGAAATACACATTTTTAAGTGCTTTTTAAAATATTTTGTTTAGTATTTTTATTTTATGTGTATGAATGTTATGCCTACATGCAAGTAAGTGCACCCGTGTCGTGCAATGCCCACGGAGGACAGAAGAGGCTGTAGGGATACCCTGGAACTGGAGTTACGGACAGTTGTTAGCTGCCATGTGGGTGCTGGAATTCGAACCTGGGTCTTTTGTAAGAACAGTGTTCTTAACTGTTGAGCCATCTCTCCAGCCCCAAAATATGCATTTTTACTAAGCCATCTAGGATCTTGTTTTGTTGCATAGGGTGTTTGTCAGCCTAGCTGTGTGATCTGGGAGGTGGTTAGAACCCCCTTTCCTGACCATTTTGTCAAGATCCTGCATGGTAGACTTCTAAAAGCAATGCTGTAAGTCCTAGAGTCCGGGGGGGGGGGTACACGTGATCCTTGAGCTCTGTGTACAAGGTAAACATGAGAGCAGATTCTGACCTAGACCCCTGCTAGAAACATGCATAGCATCAGGGGCCTGGGCTTGGACTCTCTGCTGGGGGGAGTGAGGGAAGATTGTTCCAGGTGTAAAATCTGTTGGGCCTGAGAAGCTGGTAAATTGACGTCTTTTGGGGTTGAGGGTAGGAATGAATGCCAGGAGAAGCAGGAACTAGTCTGTGCCCTACCTGCTCATGAGACTGTTGGGCAGAGGAAAGGCAGGGACAGTGTGATGGTGGCTGCGAAAACATTTAATTCACAAGGAAAGGTACTAGTGTCAGCTGCTTGGGCAACTCTGGTCATTTTAATGAGGACCTATAAGAAGTCTCAGCCTGGTGGATCTGGTTTTCCATGTAAGGTGGGTTTTTACTGAGGTCAGTTTTACTGAGGTCAGTGATTAGTTGTTAATGGTCGCCTCTCAAGCCAGATCCTTCCCCTACAGAGCCTGCACCTTGCAGAACTGGGGCATTGTTTGGCCCTGTGGATTTGTAAAGGACTGTGAATTATTCCCTCCTGTACTCCCAAGAGAATAGCACATCTCTAAAGACACGATTCACATTGTAGTGCTTTTATATACCTGAACACACGTGAAACACACACAGTACACCCAACCTCCAGCTGGAGAAGCTTTTGAATAAGACCAAGGAAGAAGGAAAGAGAGACTCATTCTTATTGAATCCAAACTCTGCACACCTGGAAATGCTCAGGTGTGGGACGGGGGCTTGTGAAGGTCCCCAGGTGGAAGATTCCACTCTCTGGTTGTGTGACTCAGAGCCAGTGTCCCTTGGCCTCTGTGGGAATCAATGTCTTCATCTTTACTGTTTTCCTCTTGATGGTTTTCTCAGGTTAGAACAGTGGTCCCTAGGACTGGCAGCTGCACATCAGAGTCACCTGGTAAGAAACAAAGCAAAGCATCACTTAAGGGACACTCCCGACCAATTAAAAATCAGACTCTGGAGATGAAGGCTAGGGATCTGCCTTTTGAAAGTTTCTCAGCTCTGAACTGGGGATATTATTCAGTGGGCAGAGGGTTTGCCTAGCTGTAGCTCAGTGGGCAGAAAGTTTGCCTAGCTGTAGCTCAGTGGGTAGTGTTTGCCTAGCATGCACAAGATTGGTCTCTACTATGGCGTCCTGGAGGTAGCAGCACATAGCTCTTGTCTCAGCACTCTGGAAGTAGAGGCAGGAGTTCAGAATCATCTCTTGACTACATAGCAAGTCTGAGGCTAGTCTTGGTGGCATGAGACCCTGCCTCAGAAAAAGAAAAATAACCTTTTATCTTGCAAGCCAAGGTAGGAGCCAGCAGGCTGGAAGTTTCCCAACCCTTCTGCTGGTGTTGGGGATTGAGTCCAGAGCCTGTGTCTGGCAAGTGTGTGCTCTACCACCAAGCGACATCTGCAGCCCCTCTGTACCCTTTGACAAGGGGACCCACTCAGGTTTAGAATGGAGGGGCCCACCATCTTTACGCCATACCGCAGTTAGCTCTAAAAGCCTGTGATCTTGGGGAGACCCACCTGGTAGCACTTCACAGAATCACAACTATCAATCAGCTGCTAGATTAGCCTCCTGAAAACAACTGCCAAGTTTAGGCCAAGTGTGGTTTCTAGGGAGTGCAGTCTGGAATGGGAAAAAGCCTCAAGGTCATAAGTCATCCCAGATCTCTGCCTGCCCTTTCCAGATTGTTCCTGGGGAGGGAAATCCCTTTCTAAGTTGTTGCTTTAATTCAGGCTCTGAGGATGCTTTAAAGCTAGACCTTGCCTGAGTGATCACAGCAGCCATGGTGATCAGTGTCCTGCAGCTGTCCCCCAGAAGGGAGTCATTCAGAAGCACACTTCTCCCTCTATCAAGAGTATATTTGTGCAACACCTCACCATTTAATAGAATCTACCACCAGTACTGACTGGTTAAGGTGGACAGCAAGCCTGCAAAGGAGCTCTTTCATGCTCCCATTTTACAGGTAAAAATGTTGAGCTCAGTCTTGAGATGGAAACCTGGTAGACCTGGGATTTTAGTCCAAGCACGCCTGCTTTTCAATTTGAGGTTGAAGTCCTCACAACCAAAGTAAAGAAAGGCTTTCTGGGGGCTGGAGAGATGGCTCAGTGGTTAAGAACACTGGTTGTTCTTGCAGAAGACCCAGGTTTGAATCCCAGCACCCACATGGCAGCTAACAAATGTCTGTAACTCCATCCAGGGGATCCGACAGCCTCTTCTGACCTCTGTGGGCATTACGTGACATGGGTGCACTTACCTACATGCAGGCAATACACTCACACACATAAAATAATAAATAAATTTTTAAAAAATTAAAAAAGGCTTTCTGGACTGCAAAGCAGCTTCATAAATGCTATTTCTGACTTTTTTGAAAGGAGTCCCATGAATTCCAATGGCAAGTGACGTGATCACTTTTTTCAAATGACTAAGTAGGCTCTCAAAATAAGTCGGAAGTTGCAAAGTAGACACAGACACAGTACTGGAATTTGGGCTGCATGACCCCAGATTTTCTACCTGTCCCCGTGCTTAAAGAATCCACTTGTTTAGTCTTGGAAGGTCCACCAAAGTGACATCATTACAGGTGCTGTCTATGGTTGAAATTCTGTGGGATCAAAAGAAAGCTTAGCCGGGTAGTCCCAGAACTTGGCAGGTGGAGCTCTGTGAATTCAAGTCTGCTCTATGCTAAGTCAGTCAGGGACACACAGTAAAAAGAAAGCTTATGTACACAATACTTAAATTAATGATTCTTCATCTAGGAGTCTATGTTAATGTTGGGGCAAAATTAGAGGCACCTAGGTAAGTGCCGCACAGATGGCTATTTACAACCATCTGCACAATGCTGGAAAACAGTACAAATTTAATGATAAAATTCATATAATTATATAGTTCAAAGAAATTATGGCTCATCCATAGGATAAAGTGTTCTATAATCATTAGAAACAATATCCATAAGACATAGACAAGGCCTTACTGCACCAATGAGATGTTAATGCATGGTGCACCTACAGTGTGCTGTTTGTTATCTTTACTAGCATATGTGGACAGATGACATGAGAATGTTAATGATGACAGAGATGGGGCCTTCTTTTCTAAATTTTCTGTCATGGACATGCTTTTATCACATAGTTTGTATGTGTGTTTATTCTTTTTTTAAAGCGAGCTGAGCATGTTGACTGGGCCATACACCCGGGTGAGACCCCAGGAATCGGGCAAGACCCTGTCCTGGTTTGGTCTCATGGTGTTTCCACTGAGGCAAATAAATCTGAAAGTCAGAGGGAGGCCTGGCACAGCTAAGCATAGCATCCCCTGGTACTCACCATAAAACCAGTGTGAGCTCTGGGCACAAAGAGACCATGAACATTTTCCACTTTATTTCCAATGAGCGTGTGGACAGGTTGGTGAATCCTACCCATTCTTAGCTAAAGGCATTTATTTATTTATTTATTTATTTATTTATTTATTTATTTACTTACTTACTTACTTACTTATTGTTAAATTAAACAAGGTGCAGGTCTCTACTCTTTCTCCGTGCAGCCTTCCCCACCCCATTCTCTGTTATTTGCATTTGGGTTTGTTCTCCTCTGTGCCAGGCTTTCCTTGACACAAGTATTGATCTCGTGTTGTTCTGGGATGACTAAGAAAAGGAGACAGTGTCCTGACCCATGGAGACACAGGTGACTTTAGAGCCCTGCTTGGCTGGACTGTTGGGAGTTCAGACTGTGCCTCTTCTCGAGGTGTCTCCCCAGTGGGCACACTGAGTCAGGCTTCTTCAGGAGATGGACCCCGTCCCCCAAGCAGTGTCTCCCAAATAACCTTCCAGGCAACTCTCTTCCCTCTCAACCCCAACCCACCCCACTCCCCCAGCCTGGCATCCTCCAGGACAGGGGGACAAGTGAGCAGTTGGCCTGCCATGGTGGCCGTTACACACAGTGAGTGGGTGGCTGTTTGTCTCGTGCCCCTCTCAGTGCTGCTGGGAGCATTCTGTCTGGGAACTCTGTCATCATGGAGACACTAGGCTCCTTCCAACCCCACAGACCAAGTGTTCCCATGGGTTGAACTAGATTTTGTTTGGTCTTTTCTCTTCATCCTCCTTCCTCCCCATTAAAAAAAATAATAATTTTATGTGTATGAGTGTATTGCTTACATGTATGTAAGTGCACCTATGTTGTGGAATGTCGGTGGAGGTCAGAAAAGGGTGTTGGATCCCCTGGAACTGGAGTTAGGACTGTTGTTAGCCACCATGTAGGTGCTGGGAATCGAACTCAGGTCCTCTGCAAGAGCAGCCAGTGCTCTTAAACGCTGAGTCATCTCTCCAACCCTTTCCTTCCCATTTTAATCAAGAATAGGTCTTGCTGTGTAGTTTGGGCTGACCTTGAACTCGTACTTGAACTGGTATTCGTCCTTTCTCAGCCTCCTATGTACGGGGATTTCAGACACATCCCACCATGCCTGGCTTGACTTTGCCAGGTATTTTCTGAGGCGCGGTTTGTAGGCGGTTAAGATGACTCAGCTCTCCAGGTGTCCGCAATGGAGAACGACTTCGTCCTTGCCCTGCAGAATGAGAACAGCCACTGTTTTGTGCAAACAAGACCTCGCTGGGTCAGTGCAAAATAGGGACAATACAAATACCATTTCTATATCTGGAATGGCTTAATTTTCATTAGAACTTTAATTAAATGATCCCTTTCCTCCCTAGTCTTTCCTGCGCTTTCATTTGTTAATAATTGCCCTGTAAAGAGAATCCCATTGCAACAGCTTTCTAATGTAGCCGATCGTTATCGCAGTTCTTTTGTTCGGGGTTGCTGGGCCGCAGAGCTCTGATGAAAGGGCCCGTCACTCCCGAGGACCCGAAGGGCGGAGCGCCGTGAGGCTCGCTCCTGCCGCCCAGTGGTGGGAAGGGCGATTGCGGGAGGCGGGCGGGACCGGGACCTTGTCCTGCTGGCTGTGAGCCTCCCACCGACGCCCGCGAGGGAGCTGCCCGCGTCTTCACAGGGAAACTTTGGAAGCAAAGGACTTGACAGGGAGCCCTGTGGTCTTAGGGTGCACTTGCTTTTTAAAATTTTAATTATTTATTTAATAACCATATAATTAGAAGAAGCATTTCATGACAACAGCATTGACATAGCCAATAACAATTTCCAGAGCTAAGATGCTTCTCTTCCAAAATTGGCTGTAAATTTTTAGGTTTACAGTTGAATTAATACAGTTATACAATATTGAACTCAGTATAAACCCTGTAGAAAAATTCATTTTTAATGTAATTGATATCAAGATGTTTGCACATGCGTTTCTAATCTCTATATATCTGATTATTACTAGTGACAGTTGGTTACTTTCTGAGATCCTTGGCATCTGAGCATGGATATAAAGTCATCAGCGAGATTTCAATGGTAATGTTTTTCACATCTACTAATTATTAAGGAGCAAATTTTTATGCTTTGAAGAATTATTTTTTTTTCTTTTTTTAAAATTTATTTATACACCCACTTCCCAGGTAGCACCCTCCCTTAGCCTCCCTCCCCCCACTAGAGGAGCCCTTATACTCTGATATCCCTGCTACTGTCTGCTGTGTTGTCGAGGGATGCACTTGCTTTTTAGCAGGGGAATCAGAAATAAGTCTTGGGCTTATTTAACCCAAAAGGATCTGAGTGGAACTTTGCTTTCATTCAGATTGCTGCTGGGGGACAGAAGTCTTCCCCAGTAAACATTCGATGGTTATTAGTCGGGAATCTTCCTGAAACTGCTTTTTTAATTAAAGAAGATAATATTGAATAGCAAAGTACTTAGAGACATCTCAAAACAGATTTTCAGTCAGCGGTTTGACCAGGATATGGGGCCCTGCTCAGAGGCACTTTTGGGTGTTGCACCAGGAGAAGGCCAGTGCTACTGGCATTGAGTTAGTAGAGGTCAGGGTTGCTTATCACACAGGATAGCTTCCCAAGGATAAGGAATGATTTGACTTTCAAAGTCATTAGTACTTCTGGTGAGAGATCCTGTTCCCAAGGAACCAACCAAGAGAGAAGGAATTTGTGATTGCCATTTGAATCTTGTTTGCTTGTTTTTTGTTTGAAACAAGTTTTCACTTTGTAGCCCAGGCTAGCCTGGAAGTCGGTTTTCACTCTGTAGCCTAGGCTGCCCTCAAACTCCTGGCAATCTTCCTGTGTCAGCCTGTCAAGGGCTGGCATTACAGGTGTTCACTGCACATGGTTTATGCAGTGCTGAAGACTGAGCCCAGGCTGTGCATGCTAGGCAAGCACTCTTAACAACTGAGGCACATCACCGGTCTACGTTGTTTGAATCTTTATTCAGTATCCTGAGTTACCTGGGCATGTGTGGGCAGCTGCAGATAACTGAGGTAGGCGCGCAGACCGGGAAGTGATATGGAGGACCAGAGATGTCCGCTTCACAAAATGGTAAGATGACAATGACGACTGAGTTACACCTAGGATGTACTGGGTGTGGGTTTTTAAATTCTTGATCTCACTTAACTTGACCTCTGCAATAGCCCTGTGAAGGAGATGCCACCATTCCCAGGAGTCTGAGGCACTCCCAGACTGCAGCAAGTCTGAAGCCCGTGTCACCCCACCTTGCTGTTCTGTCCTGCAGAGGGTGTGGATCGGGACACACACTCCAGATTCAGTGCTTGTGCTTCTGCCCTGATAGCCAGAAACCATCTAGTCATTTCCCCCATTTTAGAAAGGGAAGGCTTCATACCGATCCATTTTCTGTGTCTGTCCCGGAGCATTCCATCCTTCAGTTCAACTCCCCTTAGTGGACTCTGTAGGTATCTCAGGGCATGACCCCTGCTGTCTCCTTTGGAGTCAGGTAGTTAAGAACATAGAATCCAGGTGGGGGGGATACCGTGTTCTTCCTGGCTCCTTTTGACCTCGGTAAGTGGCTGCAGGGCTTGGTGCTGCAATTTTCTTTCTGTGTCACACAGAGATGACTCTGATTCTGGGACTTATCCCAGAGGGGTAGTATGAGGCTTAAGGTAGTTGGTGCATATAAGGAGCTTTGTATAGCCCAGAGGCACGGTGAGTGCCACATAGTGTCACTTGTTGTTACTGCTATTTACGACTTTATAAAAATTATAGGAATCCCAGAGGATTCTTTATTTAAAATGTCTGTCCATTCATCTGTATTTATTATGAGGCTTAAGGTAGTTGGTGCATATAAGGAGCTTTGTATAGCCCAGAGGCACGGTGAGTGCCACATAGTGTCACTTGTTGTTACTGCTATTTACGACTTTATAAAAATTATAGGAATCCCAGAGGATTCTTTATTTAAAATGTCTGTCCATATTTATTTATTTATTTATTTATTTATTTATTTATGTGTATGTGTGTGTGTGTGTGTGTGTGTGCGCGCGCGCGCTGAGAATTGAGCCCAGGGCATTAGCTATGTTAGGCAAGTGCTTTACCACTGAGCTATACCCCATCATGTGCCTATATTTATAATGCTGTCAGAAAGACATTGTAATGTAGCCAGAAAGACCTTCCTCCTTTCTAAAGTGAAGATGGTGACACAGACTTGCTGGGTTTTAAGATTTCAGGAGCTGAGCCCAGCATGGTGCCGGCTGGGCTAACACTCATGTGGTTGGTTTCCTCCTCCTATTTTTGATCTTAGCCCTATTGACACTTGGAGCTGTATAATTCTGTGTTGTAGGGTAGCTGACTTGTGCCTTGTAGATTTAGTAGCAGCGCCCAGTTGCTCAGCTGTGAGAGTTACAAATGTTTCTGGATATTTCCATGTGTCCGTGGCGAACAAATTCACTGAGAAACTGTTAGGTCTTGCCTAAGCCTTACCAGCACACAGTGTAGGCGCTAACCCACATGAGGGTAAGAAGTACAAAGCACAGGTGTCTCAGGGTACTTACTGTGTGTGGTCTGTGACTCCAGGCAGTGGGTCCAGGGGGTACTTAGAACTTGTTCTTTGTTTTGAGATAGGACCTCATGATGTAGCCCAGGATGGCCTAGACCTTGCTATGTAGCTGAGGATGACCTTGAGCTTCTGGTCCTTTCCCTCCAGTTCCTCAGTGCTGGGATCACAAGTGCACGACCATGCCTGGATTTATGCAGCATTGAGGACTGAACCCAGGGCTTCCTGTGTGGTCTAATCTACCAACTAAGCTGCATCTCGGTCCTCATCGTCCGCCTGCCTCTGCCTCACACAGGCTGCGGTTTCAGGGTAGGGCTACCATCTAGCCAAGGGGGCTTGTTTTCAAGCCTTCTGTAGCAGTAGCTCTTGAGAAGAGCTTCTGTTTTGCAAGCTAAGCTCTGGTTACATTAATGTCTACAAGTCACTTGTTTTCTATAGCATCCTGAGGATCTGGGTTTCAATTACTTTTTTCTTCCTCATCACCTGTGGGACTTTGGCAGAGTCACTGCCCGCTTTAGGCCTTATTTTTGGTGGTATTAGTTGCTTCTGCATAGGTTGTTGTAAAATTCTTTGAGATAATTCTTGGGATGCTCCTGGCCCCCCACGAAAGCAGGTGCTGCTTAAGTCTTTGATATCAGTACAAGGCACTGCTGAGGGTACACGGCCCACAAGAAAGAAACAGAATCCTGTAGTTCTTCCACACCCAGCTCTGCTCCCCCAACACTTTCCCAAGTTCCTCTCCAGTACTCAGTGCCTGCTTCTGCTCCAAACATCCTTTCTCTGTACAGACCTCATTGTTTCTACTCCATCTTCTCTCCCCAAACAGATTCCTGTGTTATCGGTGACCATCCCAAAATACAGATCAAGAACTCAACTTTCTGTATGACTGCCTATCCGAACTTGACAATGGTCAACTTCACCAGCCAGGCCAACAAAACGTTTGTCAGCGGGAGCGAAGAGTACTTCAAGTAAGATAGCTTGGTCCGGGGAAGCTTTGTAAGAGAAACCGGGAGAATAATTTGCAGGCCGGAGGTGTGAGTGGTGGGAGGGTGGCTTGCTTTCTTTTATGTTTCTCCTGTTGACTCCAGTGATCAGAAAGGGAGCTTGTGTCCTGGTCTGGTTTCCAACAGCAATTTGCTGTGCATCGCGGGTCTGGAAATGAGGGGACTAAATGATGGCTGGTGGGAACAAGATCAGTGCTGCTGTAATCGTTTTGCTGAGGAGAAAAAGTGGCAGTCTTGGCTCCTGTAACCTAAGCAGACCTGCAGTTAACCAAACGGTCACACACATCTGCCCTCCATCTTCAGGGAAGAGAAGTAAATAGGAAGAAAACAAGTCAAGGGCAAACTTTTAGTTTAAAAGCGGAAACAGC